TTGTGCGTGTGATAGACGTACGTAATGTTGCGTACGATATTGGGGTTATACCGAGGGTACAAGGGGGTTACATCCTCGGTATAACCCCTTATAACCTCCTTGTAACCTACCTGTAACCTAAAATAAGTTTCGCGCTTCTGTTATCATATATTAAGAATTTATTAGTAGGTTACACGTAAGTTACAGATGGTTACATGGAGGTTACAAGGGGTTATACCGCGGATATAACTCCCTTGTACCCTCGATATAACCTTAATATCGTACGTAGCGCTGCGTACGTCTATCGCACGCAATTTTTTTCCTTAAAACATCAAGCTAGCATATTTCAACACAGAATGAAATGTTTTGTTATTAGTCAATTAAACTTCTTCAATTATAATTTTTTGGAATATAATTGTAGCATAATAAATAAAACATTTGATCGAACTAATTACGAATAAATCAAAATGTCATCCTTGATATACAAAATATGAACATGGCATTTTTTTTCTTAAAGTTATTCATTAAGCATTGCCTACATAGGTTTAAGGTGTTCAGTTCCATAACTATGAGGATAAGATAAGTCATAAGAAATTGAAAAACATTATTTAAGTTGGCCTTTTTTTCTTAATTACTATCTTGTTTATAAACTAATGTTAATTTACTATATACTATTAAACTAGTATTTTATGTTATAGTCACATTAAGCAATGATAAATTCATTTTTAGACATTATATTGCCTCATATTAGTGCCACAATAATGTTCATCAGATAACAAAAGGCTTCTACATTACTTCGGTTGTATCAAATATTCATTTAATTTGTTTGATATTACAATAAAGTAAAATACTATTTAGCAAAATACATTAAGAGTCCACAATGCCAAACAAAATTTTATTTGCAGTCCAAGATCTAGCTGCTTAGTATGCCAATAATTGAAGTCCAAGTCATATTAAACATGAAATTTAACGAAACCTTTGTAATAGAATTTCGGTGAAACTCTGACAACTACTATAAAATTTTGGCTTTGTGTTTAAACATAAACGAGTCTTTCGAAATATCATTAAATTTTGACCATGGCTTCATAAAAAACGACGGAACTTTTAGGGTCGGATCTCAGTGGATCGTGGCAACAAATCACTCTGCCACGCACAATGTCCCGTCGCAAATTTAAGTAGTCTGCAAAGCATTTTGTTCATCGCCCGTTCCGATCTGCAATTCAGGGTGTCTGTGTCTGTCGTCTACGTGACTGGTACAACCCAGCCCATGCATGGTCCTTGGAGGCCGAGGCCACTACTACCGGTCGGCGGACGAACGATGGGCTCAGATGCCGCATTTTTAGTCTGGATTCTGACTTAAAGGTGTTCAGTCATAATCTTACACACGGCAGCTTCGCGCCACTAGCTTTTCAACTAAGTACGATGATAACTTGTGTGGATCAACTGTTTATCTCGTACTATGTTGAATTACTATCGCTGCACGATCATCAGTAGAGTAAAACTAACATGTCTCACGACGGTCTACACTCAGCTCAGGTTTCTTATTAGTGGGTGAACAACCCAACACTTGATGAATTCTGCTTCACAATGATAGGAAGAGTCGATATCATTGTGAACAGGGATTGAAGAAGACTGAGTTTTTCAATTAAAATAAATATAGAAAAGAACATAAAAATCAATCGCTCTGAGGGATGGAATAAGATTTATGTATCTCACAAATATCTTTAATCTCTTCCTGGCTCTCGATTTATATATCTCACAAATATCTTTAATCTCTTCCTGGCTCTCTGAACACCCGAAATTTGCTTTCCGTGTTTGCTTCGGCGCAGAGATTCTTCTAGTTAACCACCCACTGCAAAATTTCAGTCACAAGTTGAGCCAATTTAGCCTTCAACGCTATCCAAAGCTGGTCTTCTTGTACTTCATTTTGGTCAGTTAAAAAGCAAAGATGTCGGTTCAAACACCAATCCCACATCCCATCTCATCCAACACCTATCCATAATCATGAAAGCCAACTTTTCTCTCCCTCTCTTGACAACCTTTGCTATCCTCTATATTTCCCTTCCAATGCATGCCATGCCAAACTAGAAGAAACGCCTGCAACTCCCTCCAACGTGCCAACACTACTCAGAAAAGGAAGCAAGAGAGGGCTTCAGCACTCACAACCTCTACAGCAAGAGAGTCTCGATCGATTCAGTTTGTCGCCGGCTAGACTTCTCCGTCGAGTTAAAGCCAGTGTGGCCAGAAGATTGAGCCTATTCTCAGCCAAGAGGTGTTCCAGCAGCAGAAATGGATCTTCAGATGCGGCTCCAATTCCCTGCATTCCTTCTAGAGATTCTCATCACTTTGAGGCGTTGGAGGACTGCATACAGTTTATCAACTCTTCTCAGAGGAAGTCTGACTGAGCTTCATATTCAGCTTGCTTGACTCGTGATACCAACATCCAATATGCCTACGCTTTTGAGAAATTTCTTTCAAAGACAAGTTTATGTTTTGAATAGGGCTCTAATTGCGCCGAGTATATTATAGTTTGGATTTGGTATGATATAATTAGAAATTGTTCATGTTCATATTGAGCTTATGTCGAGCTTTCATATATTGTTCAAACTTGATCTATTTAAAATTTTTGATATTTGAACTTGAATTGTACTGGATTTGTTTATGAGAAGTGAACGATTATTTAAACGATCTAATAAATGTGCTAAAAATTTAAATGAGTATCTAAATTTTTCTACAAAAAAAATAAAAATAAATAAGTTAATAGACTTGATCACAAATATTAATTTATTGATTAAAAATTGAATCCTACAATATCTTAAATCTCATTTCTCCAGCATTTTGCCATAAATCTCTTCTTTAGTGGTTATTTAGTAGAATGATTTGTATATCATTTAAGCATGATTTAACCTATATACTACCAAACAACTAAAAATGACAACTGTAAAACCTACATAAACTTAATATCCAAGTATTTATATATCATATATTATTATAAAACCATTTTATTTATGATATATGATATTTATATATCATATATTAAAATTTTATTTAAATTTTATATCATATAGCATACTAGTTGATTAAATTTTATTTAAATTTTATATCATATATCACACAAGACATCATCAAGCATAATATCGAATACTTAACAAGTTACTTATTGAACAACAAACAAGTTTATTTGCAAACATAAAAAAGCAAGTTCGATTACGTTCATATTTAGTTCGTTTAAACATCAAACTTTTAAAAATTATTCAAATTTATTTATTTATTAATTTGAACTAACATGATCGAATTCTAATTGAGCCGAACTCAAATTGAGCCGAACTCAAATTGTTCATTGAGTGTGTTGATTCATTGACTGCCCTAATTTTAAATTGCCCTAATTTTAAATTTGGTTCCAGTTTGTGTGATTAACTATTCAACCTTCAATTGCAAGGTTATGCGCATACACGAGAACAAGTCATTCTCATCATACAAGTTTGAAAACAGGCGTGATAGATACATTTACACAAATTACAGAATTCTTATGTATTTAGATATCAACTAAACGTAAATTTTTTGCATCTCTCACATTACAAATAAATGAACAGGCTCATCTCTTTTTTCAAAGTTAAAAAAGTGCCTTTTTTTGTAAATGCATAAGGCATGTATGTATGTATATATATATATGTATATATATATATATATATATATATATAAAGTTTAGGGAAAAGTGATCAAGCATATAAAAAACAACTCCGATGGCAACAATGATGGCAAAGATATAGAGAACAAATGAGAAAAATAAACATCAGTGAAAAGGAAAAAATATATATGCAGAGGTAAATGACATTCATTTCAACAAGAATATTCGGATCAGAAATACAACCAGGCATCAACCGTACGACCCATCGGCACCTCGATAATTACTTGTATTATAAAAAAGATGTATTGAGTAAATGTATAATCAAAAGAAAGAACACAAGTAAATGAAACATGAAAGTCAGGAAATACTGGAGGAAAGATATGAAAAAATGAATGCCAAGATAAACATCTCTTGTCCATCACTGAAGATTTAGGCTGCATATCAACGTTAAGACGGAAAAAGCCTCTTCATGTTGAACTACTGAAAACTTTGCGCAAATGAAAATATAGCCAGCTGAAAATGCGTTACGATGATATCTACCAAAGATAAATCCTAGCTTCCTACTGAACTTGATACAGCAACAGGTTTCGCATCTTCAGCTTTCTCATGTTCTTTGTTTAACATCTGCAACCCAAAGGAAAAATATTCAGAAAAACATACTGCATAAATAAATGTAGCACAAATGAGTTATAAAAAATAAGATTGTGCTCAAGAAAATCAAAATACATCTATATAAATATACGTCGAGTGGTCGGAGAAAAATAAGGGTGGGAGTGTAAGCTTATTGGACTTCTTATGCTAATAATCATGTTATGGAATTTTTCATGCATTGTAACCTATTCTTTTATTTTGTTGGGGAGAAACAATTCTAGGGATCACCAATTCGAGTAGATAAGTGCACAAAATGAACAAGCTAGAAGTCTATATATATGAAGCATTTACATACATACCACAATTCTTATGTATTTACATATTTAAAATCTAAACTTGCATAGTAACATCTATGCCACTTGAATTCTTAATATCACAAAAAAATATTTCTTAACTTTCTAAAGATGAAGTACTTCTCATGCGTAGGTTTATAATACTAAAGTGTTATATCACTCAATTTCTATGCATTTACCCATCTAACACCAAATGTTTTATTTTTATATTTATAAAAACCAAAATTTTCGTTACATTTTAAAAAAGCCACGTTTTTAACTTTTAAAAAGAGATGAACCTATTCATTTATTGGAAATATTATGGAATTTTTCATGCATTATAACCTTTTCTTTTATTTTGTTCGGGAGAAACAATTCTAGGGATCGCCAATTCGAGTAGATGACTGCACAAAATGAACTAACTAGAAAAAGATAGATAAAAAAAAAACAACAAAAAGCAAACAAAAACAAAACAAAAATGCATTACTTTATTATTGATAAGGTTGTGTAGTGCAATGACGCTTCGGATAAGGGAAGAAAGGTAAATAACCAGCATCATATCATTTGTTTTCACTGCAAAAGAAAAATAAGGATTGGATCAAGTCACCAGCTCATGAAAGGCAGTATCATAGAAATCAATTAATCAAAACAGCCCAGCAACTGTAGTTCAATAAAATCAACAATTACAATCTTTCCAATCATGAGTAAATTAGCAATCATACCAACAAATGCCTTGATCAATTCATTCACATTCAGGTTAGGAAGGAGATTAAATACATCCTGCAAAGAAAGAGACTATCACGTAAGTACAAAAACAATCCTAAAATAAGCATGTTTCCGGAAAGTTACAACATAGATTTAATTTTAAGAACATTTATTAAAGGTTGAGTGTATTTTATTCCTCTTATCTATATTTAACCTTTATCTTTAGTTTAAAGCAAAATAAACACAAACTAAAATTAACTCCAAACAACCTCATTTTCCTGCATCTGGAAATCGGCCAAAGCAACTAGCATCTAAATGTCATGTCTTCCTCGAGTCCTACCGTAACTCGTTGCCATCTCTTTCACCAACTACCTCTCATGGAAGTAACTAGATCTCATATACTCACCACCCACATCACTAAACATTTTGGGAGGTGAAGTCGTATTAAATATATTCTATCTCATACATAGAAAGCCCTTTCAAACCCTCAACATCAAAAGCCCTATCTTCAACCTCTTCAATGCCAAAATAAAGTCATCTACACTCCTTCAAAAAGTTTTTGAATGTTCATCCTACGCCCACATTCATTCACACAAAAGAAGTAAATTAGATCCTAAAGCTATCAAATGCATTTTTATCATGTAATCTCCCTACCAAAAAGGATATAAATGCCACTCACTTACCACTGAATAATTCTACAACTCTATGGATGTAGCCTTTCTCGAAGATCAACCTTTCTTTTTCAAATCTAATATTCAAAGGGTGAACTCATCCAAGAAATATCAGTTATAGACTTTAATTTACAACATTTCAATCGACATGCCCACTCAAAATTCAAAAAAGCCAATAAAATTTATAAATCAATTTGTCTCCCTTCCATCAAAATAATAAAATTAAAAATTTGATTATTTGCTCTAAAATGAATGAGTCACAAATTGATCCAACATACCAAAGATAAGATCAAGAGTTTGAACTTAATCTAATCACTACTGATATACCACAAGGTAACAAGCATCATGAACTCCTTAGTAGTGAGTTTTTTTATCACCATAAATAACCCACAGCTTTGAGAAAAAGTCTTAAGAACTTGTGCCGACTATCCTTTCACAATTTTATCTTTTAAACTAATCTCTTACCCAAAAGTTCAAGCATTCATCAACTATCGCAATCAAGAATATGTTCCTAAATTCATTCATGAAGCCATCAACATTCCTAAATGTAAAGCTGTTCTTTAAGAAATGCGAGCTCTTAAGAAAATACCAAACATAGGAAATTGAAAAATTTGCCTTCAAGGAAAAAACTTTTTGGATGCAAATTATTATTTATTATCAGATATAAAGTTGTCAAAAAATATATATAGAAAATTTCGAAGCCCATCTTGTTGGAAAAAAAAAACATTCAATCGTGTATATGCTACCAAGAGACTTTTGGTCGTGTTATTAAACTCAAATTTGTTCTAATCCTCTTATCCCCTTGTAACAAATTTTACCGACCTATCAACTTGATATTAAAAGCATCTTTCTTAATGGAGATTTTAAAAATAATATATAAGTAAAGTTCTCCATAGGTTCCACACACAATTCCCATATTATGCAGATTCAAGATTCAAATGGCTTAAATAATTTTCACATTTCTAGTTTAATAGAAACTCTAAAGTTGTTGAGAATTATGAGTACACTCAGTATTAGGTTGACCATGTCTAAATTTGAAAAAAAAAAATACTCCTAAAGAAAAATTAGGTATCTTAATTATATATTATCCTAATAGAAAATTTTGGAATGATATAGAAGACTTAATCCAAATGATATCTCTTGAAGAAAGATTTTTATTAGAGGAGATTTAAATGGACATGTTGGTAGAGTGGTAGAAGATTTCAGAAATACTCATTGTGGCTACGGTTTTGGAGTGATTAATAAAGAAGGTAGAGTCCTATTAGTTTGCTTTAGCATTTGACTTTGTTATTACTAATACTTTATTCAAGAAAAGAGATAAAAGTCTTATTACTTATAAAAATGAATCTAATAAAACACAAAGTGATTATTTTCCTACGAGAAGAAAATATCATCGAGATAGTAAAGATTGTAAGGTAATTCCGAACGACGATTCAAATACCCAACATTGATTATTAATTCTCGATTTTAAGATGAAGTGTTGTAAAATAAAAAATACTAAGATTCATCATCATTAAATTAGATGGGGATACCTAAAAGATACAAATAAAATTATTCTGATGAGTAAAATTTAAATTTTTAAAATTTGAATTGTTCATAAAGAAACAAATGTTATGTGAGATAAAGTAACAAAGACTATTAAACACGTGGCTAAAGATGTACTTAGAGAATTAAAAGAAAAAAAAATTATAAAAAAAAGATGGTGGTGGAATAATAATGTGCAAGAGAAGATAAAATAAAAGAAGTTATGTTATAAAAATTTGTTTAAATGTAAAAGCTTAAAAAACTGGGAAAAGAGAAGTAAATATCAAACGGTACATACAGAGTCAAAAAGAACAATTTGTGACGCTAAAAATTCTCCTTTTAGTGACTTTTATAATAAATTAGACACTAAGAAGTGTGAAAAATATATGTTCAAACTAGTCAAACAAAGAGAAAAGAGAAGTAAATATTTAACTCAAGTAAAGTGTATTAAAGATGAAAATCAAAAAGTGTTTTTCTTAGAGAAAGATATTCAACATAGTTGGATAAGTTATTTTGATAAACTTTTTAATGAAGTTTCTGAAAATACGATCGACTTTAGTGATCTTAATATAGTTAATAATAAATTTTTTTTTTATTTTTACCATCGCATCAGTAAAAAGAACAGATGTTGAGGTGGCTTTAAAGAATACCAAGGCTGGAAAGTTTGTAGGACCTGATGATATCCCAATTTAAATGTGGAAATATTTAAGATATTTGAGAGTTTCTTGGCTTACTAAACTCTTTAACTAAACTCTTTACTCTTTAATATTATTTTAAAAACTAAAAAGACGTCGGAGGAGTGGAGGTAGAGTATTTTGGTCCCCATTTTTTAGAATAAACAGGATGCACAAGAGAGTGCAAATTATAGAGGAATTAAGTTAATGTGTCGTACTTTAAAATTATGGGAGAGGGTAATTGGACATAGGCTAAGACTAAGACGTATTACAAGTATTACAATGATTTCTCATAATCAATTTGGATTTATGTCAGCCAGTTCTACGATGGAAGCTATACATTTATTGAGAGGTTTGATGGAGAAGTTTAGCGTTAATAAGGAGGATCTACATTTGATTTTTATTGATTTAGAAAAAGCTTATGATAAGGTTCTAAGAGATATCCTTTGGAGAGTTCTTGAGAAGAAAGGTGTTGATATGACTTACATTCAAGTCATTAAAGATATGTATGTTAGAGTTGTTATTTGTGTTCGAACAGAAGGAGGATTGACCAAATATTTTCCTATTTCTGTTGGATTACATCAAGGATCAGCTTTAAGCCCCTATCTTTTTCTTTAGTTATGGATGGTCTTACTAGACATTTACAGGAAGAAGTATCTTGGTGTATGTTTTTTGTTGATGATATCCTTCTCGTGGATAAGAAGAGAGAAAAAACCCATGAAAAACTTGAATTATGGAGGTTTACAATGGAGTCTAAAGGCTTACAATGGAGTCTTGAATTATGGAGGTTTACAATGGAGTCTAAAGGCATTCGTTCGAATAGAACTAAAACTAAATACATGGAATGTAATTTTAGTAGTATTAACTCTAGTGACAAAATTGTAACTTTGGGTGATCAAATTATTAAAAAGTGTGAACGATTTAGATATCTTAGGTTTATTGTTCAAAGCGATTGTGATATACAAGAGGATGTCATTAGTATAATACAAATTGGTTGGGTGAAGTGGAGGAATGCCTCAGGCCTATTGTGTGATAAAAAAGTACCGCATAAACTGAAAGGAAAATTTTATAAGATGGTGGTGAGAACTGCAATGCTTTATTGCGCAAAATGTTGGTCTTTAAAAGAGAAGCATAATACTAGTTAAATGTTGTCGAGATGAAAATGATTAGGTGGAGTCGGCTTTACACTTAGAGAAAATGCAAAATGAATATATGTGTGATAGGGTTGGTGTTGCTCCAATAACAAACAAAATTAGAGAGACATCTTATATGGTTTGGTCACATTAAGCATCAATCATCTGATGATCTGATCAGGAGAGTAGATGTTTTAGATTCGACTTATGTTAAGAAAGACAGAGGTAGACCTGGGAAGACTTGGGTTTATTTTATAAAAATGATCTTAATTTATTAGGATTAAATAAAAATATGCACTAAATAGGACACAATGGTGAAAAAGGATTCATGCAGCCGACCTCACGTAGTAGGATTAAGGTCACCTAGTGGGATTAAGGCTTGGTTAAATAACCATCAAATTGCTCTTGGTCAAGGACATTAAAATCAATAATTCGAGAAAGCTAAAGTATTTCTTTGAGATGAAGGCTTGAGATGGCCCAGATCCCACAAAGTTATTGTTGCATGTTGCCTAGTAGTTGACTTGTAGTTGGCTCGAGATGGCCCAGATCCCACAAACTAATATAACCTTTTGATTATGTAATCAAACAACAAACACCCAAGCTTATCATCTTTGCACCAATAAGTCTATGTTGAGTTGTCAATGTAGTGAGTTCAACCTTATGTCCACTTTGAATCAACATTAAGGTTTTTCTCTTAACGTTAGCCCATAGTGGCCATCCATATTAAGACCACTCCAAGGGTACAGATGTGATGATATCCTCATAACTAAAGAGCAAGCAAAGGACATAGCCACTCCATATTAAGATCACTCCAAGGTCTACAAATGTGATGATATCCTCATAACTTAAGAGCAGCTAAAGGACATTGCCGCCCACAATGAGTTCGGCAAATGCATAATTACCCTTAAAAATAGGCTTCCAAGGCCTAAACATGAACCACATATGGCTCAAGTCGCACTAAAAAAGAATAATGGAATTTTTTTTGCCAACACGCCCATAACTACCCCTATTTGGAAAATGTTCCATATGAACCATCCTAACAAAAAATTACCTAGTAAGTCAATATGATGACC